GTAGTTACAAACATTTTTGGGTCATTCTATGCCAAATGAACTATGGTCCAACATAGACCCCCTCAGATTTTGATGAACTTGATTTATATCAATGAGAAAAGCAATTCCTAAAAATTTTAGCTTACAATCTTTTGTGGTTCATGAAATATAGCCATTTGAAAAAAAATTAAAACTCCGTTAGCAAAAACATGTTTTGTTCATACTTTAAAGCTGTTTTTTAAAAACGAAATTTCAGAAAACTTTTTAGTTTTTTTTTATAATATACAATTGTAAGCTTAATTTGTTAAAATCTTGACATTGAGTTTTTTAATATTACATTTTATCTATAATGGCTGTCTAAAAAATCTAAAAAAATTGTTTGCAGATATAAAAAGTTGATTTTTGATGGGTCAATATACAAAATTAGCAACTTCAGAAATGAAAAGACATATCTTTTTAGTTTCTATATATGGTAGGCTTCCTAATTTTTAAAAAAATTGCTGAGAAAACTCCCGAGAAAACTACAAAAATTGTGCCTTCCCTTTAATCTACTGGTAACCTATGATCAACACTGGTTTTCATAATAAATTTTTTTTATTGATTTATTAGACTTTAATAAAATGAATTCAGAAAAAAAATTAGTGGGTACTCATGGGGAAGTGACAAAGTCAGAGCAATGAAGCTGGCACAAAATGCAATAAAAAAGATAAATATCAATGTACTTTAGTTTTCATTATCTACTGCAATGCAAAAAAAAAATATATATAAAAGTTTATCATAATCATTACTAAAAATAAGCTATAAACTAAGACTGAATTAAACTCAGTTTTTAAATAACCTAAGTTGCTTTCCCTCCCCTTGTCCATTTACTTTTTAACATGCATATTTTTGCACAGAACTCATTTTAAAAGAAATTTGTTATCGGACGGTTTCACTGATTTTTTTTAAATGCATGAAGTATCTTTATGTGCAAAATAAGAATTGAACATACACATTTAAAAGCTGTGAAATGATAAACAAGTTATTGGGTGTACTTTTTATCTGTATTTTATATATAAAATTTATCATTTTGTATTTAATTAATATGTCAAAACTCATGGAAACTTAACTTTATATTTCAAAAATTGAAACTAAATAAATTTATTAGATAATAATTAAAATTAAATGGCTAGTGCATCTAACTCAATGTTGCATTGGAAAAACTTTAAATAAAGATTGTCATGAAAGAAAATTTAGCAAATTCAAGAAAATTAAATGTTTTGACGAATTAACCAAAAAAGATCAAGAACTTGTGCACTTATGATGTAAAGTTAATCTTATAAAAACTATTTGTTATCACCATGAAACGATCTTCTTGAATAGATTTGAGTCTTCGTATGATGGAAGCTTCTGTTGTGATCCATTTAACAAGCACAAAGTTAAAATAAAAATTAATTGAAAATAAATTGACTTAATCAATTATTTCAAAGATAAAAGCTTATTTAATGCTTTATCATTTTGTTTCCTTTTAGAATCTTTTAGAGTAATCAGTGTTGCCGTTGCAAAGGAATTTGATTTAATACATGGTTATAAGCTTTGTACAGAATGTCGTGAAATATTCTATTAAAAAAATAACAAAAATGATTATGAAAGCGATTCATGCAAAAATAAAGACAATGATTTTAATGAGATTTATATTTCAGAAGAAAACTTTAATTTAAGCATTAATAGCCTTGGTTGTTCACCTCTAAAAATAGTAGCTCATAAAGACAGGGTCAGCTATGCAAAATCAAAAAGATGATCAAGATCCATACTGCCACCAAAAAGAAAATAGCAACTATTTTAGAAGTTTCTCGAGATTTAATAAATGAACCAAAAACAAAAGAGCTATGTTGCAACAGTAAACAAGACTTGGACTCACTAATGGAGTTAATTAAAGCAAAGTTTGATATTTCTTCAAAATCAGAAAAACTTAAATTACTAACTTTGGTTCCGCATGGAAAGAGTGCTAGTGATGGTGTTTTGGGACACTGTCAAAAGACTTGTAGCAAGAGCTAGTTTACAATCACTAACTGATCAATTTATCTGAGAAAATGTATGATTAGAGTAGACAAAATATTAAAGAAAACATTTTAATACATTTCAAATGATACAATTACATTACATTGCATAAATTTTAAATTAGTAGAAAGCTAGGCTACTTGTTCAACAATTCCAGGAACAAACTACTGTTTTATACCAAAATCATTAACAACTTTACAGATGAGACGGGTGTCATTCGACCATGTGTTTATTAATGTAAATATTTCAACAATGCAGCAGAACTATACAATTCCACTTGCTTCTCTTTCACCAGGAATTTATATAGCATGTGTTTATGATGAAAAATGGTTTTTAGGTAATATTGTGGAAATATCTGAAGAAAATCAAGATATCCTTATAATGTTCATGAAGCAGTCTATTTTCTCAAACACTTTTAGTTGGCCACATAGAGAAGATATTTGCTGGGTTCCAATTACACATGTTTTATGTAAAACTTCATCTTTAAAAGTGCAATCAGCAACTGGTAGATGCTATAAACTATCAGCTCATAAAAAAACTGAAATACTACATTTGTACAATAGTATATATAATAACAAAATTATATAACAACATAGCAAAATTGTTATTAAATTGATCAATCCAAATTTTTTATTAAAGCAAATTTGAATAATTCAATTTTTATGTTGATATTTTATTAAATAATAAAATTTTTATTACATAATATATATTACATAATAAACTTGTGTATTGTAATGACAAATCAAATAACTCTTATCACTTGGTATAATCTGTAACCTAAATTTAAACGATGATAATCAAATAAATCGGGAAGGGCGGAATAGCGAATTTATACATTATACAAAATTATACAATATTTATAGTCATAATATGAAATAGTAAGAAAATAAGTGATTTGAAAACAAATATGTGTTTGGCAGATAGTAAGAATAAAACAAAGTCTTTATTTTCATTATTTTCCTGATGTGTACTTTTACAAATGATCTATTTACTATCTAACATTACAAACTAAATGTCACAGCTTTTATATGATACACTGCTTAAGGTAAAATACTCAATAAGTAATTAAGAAAATTAATTAAGAAAAAAGTTCTTCCTATGATAAGAATGTTCTGTGCAAAAATATGCATGTTAAAAAGTAAACGGACAGGGGGACAGAAGGTTATTTAAAAACTGAGTTTAATTCAGTCTTAGTTTATAGCTTATTTCTAGTAATGATTATGATATACTTTTATATATATATTTTTTGCATTGCAGTAGATAATGAAAACTAAAGTACATCAATATCTATATTTTTATCTTTTTTTATTGCATTTTTTTTTTTATTGCTCTGACTTTGTCACTTCCCCATGAGTACCCACTAATTTTTTTTTCTGAATTCATTTTATTAAAGTCTGCAAAATCAATAAAAAAAATTATTATGAAAATCAGTGTTGATCCTAGGTTACCAGTGGAATAAAGGGAAAGCACAATTTTTATAGTTTTTCCCAGAGCCATTTTTAGGAGTCCGTTATTTCTTACTGAATCTTATCAGCAATTTTTTAAAAAATAGGAAGCCTACCATATATAGAAACTAAAAAGATATGTCTTTTCATTTCTGAAATTGCTAATTTTATATATTGACCCATCAAAAATCAACTTTTTATATCTGCAAACAGTTTTTTAGATTTTTTAGACAGCCATTATAAATAAAATGTAACATTAAAAAACTTAATGTCAAGGTTTTAACAAATTAAGCCTACAGTTGTATATTATAAAAAAAAACTAGAAAGTTTTCTGAAATTTCATTTTTAAAAAACAGAGCTTCAAAGTATGAGCAAAACATGTTTTTGCTAACGGAGTTTTAATTTTTGGAAAAATCAAAAATTTCAAATGGCGATATCTCATGAACCACAAAAGATTGTAAGCTGAAATTTTTAGGAATTGCTTTTCTTATTGATATAAACCAACCCACCAAGTTTCATCAAAATCTGAGGGGGTCCATGTATGATTTCCAAAATTTCAGTCCATTTGGCATGGAATGACCCTTTTGTATTAAAAACTTCGTTCCTGGTTTGGAAATCCAAACGATCAAAAAAAGGTTCAAAAGTTAGTTTCAAAGATATTTAGAAATATTAAATATTTTTTAATGTTCATTTAATTTATTTTATATGTACTTGCCAAATTTCATAGAAAAATTTTCATGCTCTTATGCTCCATTATTTTCTTATTATTATTTTAATATTGTTACTTTTTAGAAAAACCTATAAATAAAAAAAAAAAAAGATCATTATTTCTTGCCGAATTATCAGATTTATATGAAATTTTTGACATTGTATTGTTTTAGGCTCTTTCCTATGATAAATAACAATCTAATAATTAAACAATCTGACATTACAAAGCAAACAGCTATACTAAGGCACTCATAATTTATGTGTTGACGCAAATGGATATTTATAAAATTCTATGACATTGCAGGTCTGTCATAAATTATTCGAAAAATTTGTACAACATGCAAAATGTATAACTTTAAAACTAGTAACTAGTGTTGTTAACAGTGTTGTTGTTGCAAAGGATTTTTATACAACACCTCGTCATAAGCTTTGTACAGAATTTTTTCAAAGAATATATTCTTAGAAAACAACATACTGACAAAAAATATCCACTAAATTGAAAAATTTTATTTTAACTTGATGTTTAATTTTAACTATTTTTAACTTTAAGACAACTTAATTAAAAGGAATAAAAACACAATAAGCATATTTTTATCTCAAGGAAGTATTTCATTTATTTACGTAGTACTTTTACAAAAAAAACTTTGTCCTTCTTTTCATTGAAAAAAAAAGGTCACCTTACTAGAAGTAAAGATATGCAATTTTGAAGGTTAAGAAAATACGGTTCGAAGGTACGCAGACAAACTTATTTTGAAAATGGGGTTTTAAACAGTAGTACATAAAATAAACATAAACACTGTCTTTATATAATAAAAAAAAGCTTCTTACTTTAACTACTTTTACTAATGCTTCCTTCTTTATGTTGATAAATTTACGTAAGCAAAACAAAAATTGTCATGTCATTGGCTGTTCAAGCGAATTTTAAATTAACGTAAAATTTAACTTAAAACCGCGCAAAAAATATATAGAATCTTTTAAATAAGCAGTTCATTTCTGTGGTTTTAACAGAGCTTCTTAAAGTTGTCTCATCTCTGAGCCTCTGTGGTTTTAACAGAGTTTCTCAAAGTTGTCTCATCTCTGTTTCATCTCTATTTGTTTTTATAAATTTACGCTTATAATGACGCAAAATGGAGCTGAAAGCGCTTGACAAGTTAGCAACGGGCCCATAGCACCCGGGGGGAGGGGGGAAAGGCATTTGCCCCCCCCCCCCCCCTCCTAATAATTTTTCTAATAAAGAAAAAAAAAAAAAAAACCTAAAAAAAAAGATTCTTTAAATAGTTTTGTGGTAGTACTGCCCCCCCAATATAATTTTTGTTCCTACGGACCTAATTTAAAATACGTCATTTTTAAGAGGTCTGAACTTCAATAGGAGAGGTAAAAAAATACTTCCGCTACAATATTTACTTGAGAAAACGAAGTATAAACATCTAACTAAAACTGCTAAAACAAATATTTACTATAAAATTTATCATGGAGTACAATATGATTTCAAAGATGAAAGCTATAGAGTTAAAAAACTATTTGAAGTTAAGAGGATTAAAATTAAATGGTAAAAAAGAAGAGCTAGTTGCTCGTGTATTTGCTGCAATAGAAAACAATGTTCTACCGGCGGAATTGTAAAGAGCGCACCCCCCTAAGTTTAAAACACGCTTTATCGAAAATGATATTTTAATGACCTAGTAAAATTAATTAATTAAATTAACTAAAGTGTAATTACATCAATTGATCATAATTGATGAATAGAAGTAAATGTAAATGCTTTGACTAACCATTAGGGATCGACACAACCAAATATACATTCATTAATTGACCGTAAGAATTGAAACAATTTTGGTCACGATTATTAGTATTTCATTGGGGTGCGTCGTTTACCAGTCCGCCGTTCTACCAATAAAAACAGCAGTAGAAGTTGAGGCAGATTTAAAAAAGAATATAATTTGAAACTGGAATTAGACGATATGCAGAAAACAAATACAAATAACTAACTTTAACAATAAATAAGATAGAAATAAGATATTAATGTAAAGAATTAATAAATTTTAATAAAAAAAAAGTTCCTGCAAAGTTAAGAACAAAGGTACATTTATAAGTATAATACATGTACAAATAATAATAAAACAAAAACAAAAAACCTTTTTGCAAAAAAAAAAAAAAGACTCAACAAAAAATTTATTTAATCAGTACTTATTTTTGGTTTAGGGTCTGCTATCAGTATTGGTTTTAAATTACAAAGTGCACCACATGTTAGTAAAATGTCATCTGCATGTTGCAGCATGCTAATTGACATACTTCCATTTAGAATTTTGTATGTTTTAATTCGGGTTATAGTTCGCTCTACATGTATTCTTAGATTTGCAACATGTTGAGTTTTTTGAACTTCTTTGGTGGTTAATTTACTTTTCAAGCAGGCACCAGTTGGAACAACTAAAGTACAGAAATTTAAAATTAAATTTTCCTGAATTTGAAAGCCTCGATCAGCCAAAACTTCGTCATCTCTCTCTAGTAGATTATATATACCACTATCTCTTGTAATAAACCTATCTCTTGCTCTTCCACCATAACACGAAGAAAGAAATGTAATTTATCCATTTGGACTAACACCTATTAAAAATTTAAATGTATTATGATGCTTATATTCTGACCAGGTGCTTAATTGCTTATCAAGGGACTTTGAACGTTCTATAAACACTTTTGCACAATCAATAATTACTCTACATTTTTGATAACCAGCTTTCACAAAAACAGGTGGCAGATTGTTAAAAATAGATTCACGTGGAAGCCATACAACTAATGCTTGTCCTAAAACTTAACTTAACATTTTAATCCAAGTTGTGAATGTACAAGAACACAATGCTGGGGATATGCCAAAACGATCAGCTAAGTCTTGATTTAGAAGACCTAATCTTAATTGCATTAAAACAAGTAAAAACTCATCTCTTTATGATAATTTTTTTAAATTTTTTCATTGAAGCATATTTTTTTTGGTTTTTAGAATAGGTAAACTTTTTTGGACCAGTAAACTAAATTTGATTAATATGGTTTAATTAGTAAAAATAAATTCTCAAATAATTTAATTGTTGATAAACCAGTGTAAAAGTTCATTTTAGCATCAGTTTTAATTTTTTTCCATGTAAATACTGAACTTTTAACAGTATCAAATAACTTTTGACGCTTTAATTTTTGGCAAGTTAATGTTAACATGTTTACTTAACTGATGAGTGATTCGATTAAATTGCTCTTGTCAACATATTCTTTGCAAACTTTACTTGATTGTATAGAGCAATACGAATGATCAGATACTGGCGAGAATGATACATTTGCTACATGATACATTTGCTAATGGTAAACAATTTTCTTCATATAAATCTGTTAAAACATCATTAGAATGAGGTGACTGTCCTAAAGCAAGTGTCATAAAAGTCGAACAACTTGTAGTAGCAGTGCAGTCAAGTTTTTGCTTTTTTAATGGTATAGGGTGTTTTAATAATTTTCTTCTAGATTTATCAGCTTGTATTTCATATCCAAGACATAAAGTAGGCGTAGGGTTTGCAGTTCAAGAAATTCCATCAACAAAGTGCATGGAGTATACCCTATCACTACCTGTTGGCTGCCATAATGTTTTATTTATCAATTCTCTTCTTAACGCTTTCACCCATAATTGTCTTTCTTTATTTTTCTGATTTACTGAAATTTATATAATAAAAATGGTTTTTCACATAATGAGCATTCCTCCCTGCTTATATTTTGATGGTGTTCATTGCATATTTCTTTTTTTCATTTTTTCAACCTATATGTACTATTTACACAACCATTTACGGCACAATTAACTTTCGGCATCTTTATATAAAAAAATTTTTTTCTGATTATACTTAATAATTAAATAAATTTTATTTGAATACTTTTGGTAGATGTTTATTTACTTTTGATAAATGTTTTCTGAAGTTTTAATGGGAGGTTTAAAACGTTCTCTCTACTTTTACCCCTCCAACGGAGTCTCGATTCCAAATCATAATGGCGCGTTACAAAGCTCAATCGGTCTATTATAATTAGTCCCATATATTTTTCATATCAAAAGTTAAATGATATAAAACTCTTCAATTTCCTCTCCATCTTCTGCAATTCTATTCGCTCAGAATTTGTTTCTAGTAAGTAGTAAGAGATTTACCGGTATTGGCTTATTTTTTATTTTCAACCAAATTTTCAACCATAAATTAATATTAATATTGAGGTTAACATTGAACCATGTTGTATATAATTTATTTAGATAAGAAATAATTTTTTATTTTAAAAAAATTGATTTTTTTAAAATAAGTGTTAAATTTTATTTCTTGTTATGAAATATTATGAAAAATTCTTAAAATGACGTGACTTTTCCTGCTTCTTATTTACACCCTAATTCATGCAAGTATTTTAGCAATTCAAGGTTGTTATTTTTAGCAGCTTTTTCAAAAGCTTGACCAAATTCAAATTCTGAAGCTCTGTACCCTAATTCATGCAAGTATTTAATTAATTCAAGGTTGTTATTTTTAACAGCTTTTTTAAAAGCTTGGCCAAATTCATATTTTGGAGCTCTGTACCCTAATTCATGTAAATATTTAATTAATTCAAGGTCGTCATTTTTAACAGCTTTTTTAAAAGCTTGATTAATTGCGTATCCTGAAGCTTTTTGCATTAATTCATTAAAATATTTAATTACTTCAAGATTTCCACTTTCAACAGCAGAATCAAATGTATGTTCTGAACCTTTATACCCTAATTCAAGTAAAAATTTTATTATTTCATTATTTCCACTTTTAACAACATAATTAAATTCAAATTCTGAAGCTCTGTACCCTAATTCATGCAAGTATTTAATTAATTCAAGGTTGCCATTTTCAACAGCTTTTTCAAAAGCTTGGCCAAATCCAAATTCTGAAGCTCTGTACCCTAATTCATGCAAGTATTTAATTAATTCAAGGTTGCCATTTTCAACAGCTTTTGAAAAAGCTTGACCAAATTCAAATTCTGAAGCTTTATACCCTAATTCATGCAAGTATTTAATTAATTCAAGGTTGTTATTTTTAACAGCTTTTTTAAAAGCTTGATCAATTGCGTCTTCTGAAGCTTTTTGCATTATTTCAAGATTTCCACTTTCAACAGCAGAATTAAATTCATATTCTGAATCTCTGTACCCTAATTCATGTAAATATTTTATTATTTCAAGATTTCCACTTTTAACAGCAGAATTAAATTCATATTCTGAATCTCTGTACCCTAATTCATGCAAGTATTTAATTAATTCAAGGTTGTTATTTTTAGCAGCTTTTTTAAAAGCTTGGCCAAATTCATAATTTGAAGCTCTGTACCCTAATTCATGCAAGTATTTAATTAATTCAAGGTTGCCATTTTCAACAGCTTTTGAAAAAGCTTGACCAAATTCAAATTCTGAAGCTTTATACCCTAATTCATGCAAGTATTTAATTAATTCAAGGTTGTTATTTTTAACAGCTTTTTTAAAAGCTTGATCAAATTCATAATTTGAAGCTTTATACAATAATTCATGAAAATAATTTAGCAATTCAAGGTTGTTATTTTTAACAGCTTTTTTAAAAGCTTGATTAAATGTATCTTCTGAAGCTCTATACCCTAATTCATTTAAAAACTTCAACATTAAAATGTTGTTATTTTTAGCAGCTATTTCAAAAGCATTATCTACACTTTGTTTTTTTGATTGGATTAAATATTTAATCAAGTCAACTTTTCTTATTTTTACAGCAAAATAAACTTTATTACCTTGTTTATACCCATATTTTTTTAGATTATCATTTAGATCATCATCAATCATACCATTTTTATCTTCATCATATTCATCATATTCATCATCACTCATGTTATCATCTTTATTAATCATTTCATTTTCATTATATTCATCTTCAGTCATTTCAATATCATGAATATCAATTATATTTAATTTTTCTTCTATTAATCTTAATCTTTGTTCAATTGATCTTAAAAATGAATTTTGCATTTCGTTTTCCATTCTTTTTATATATAAAAGAAAAATTATTTAACTCATTTTCAAATTTTTTTTTTATTTTTAATACGCATGCGCTAATTCTTACTGTAT